GTGTCGTCATGTTTTGATCAATATTTAATAAAATTTTGACCAAGTCGTAAACCCGGAAATGTTGTCGACAGGGGGGTAAAAAAATTTTCCAGACTAATTGAAGCATATTTATAAATTTTTCGACCAAAATGAGCAAGGCTTGCCAATATTTAACCACAATTTACCAACTTTGACCTTAAATTTTAAGCAAATATCAGTTCCATTTTGACAAACTTTGAGCAAATACCAGTTCCATTTTGACCAACTTTGACCAACGTTTCAATTATTGGGGGGGGGGTTACACCCCCCCACACACACACACACCCAGGTAGCGACGTCCCTAATAGTGAATATAGTAAGTGAACCCAGCTAATTTTAGACTTCAGACAGTGGCGTTGCTTCACTGATTGGCATACTCGGCCAATATGACAACCAAACACCAGACCAAGGCTTTTTCACTCAAATCAATCTGGCTCTTGCCTTGGTTCACAGTGCTTGGTTTCAATTAATAATGGGTCCACAATTATCAAGCTGAAATATATTTTATCTTTTTACATTTCTACACATCATATGTAGGGTAATTTTGTCCTGCTTCTAACAACCATGAACAGACTGATTGAACTAACTGTACATGATAATTGTACTATTTTAAATAATTATGCCAGCCAGACATTAACAATTATTTAAAACACGAAACAACTATAATTGATCAAAAAAAATATTATATGAAATTAAATGCATTTCATTGTGATGTTAACACAAAGTCTATCTTTATAGTGCTTAAAAGATTACAACAAGATTTCTATTTCTATCTACAGCTTATACAAAAATATACGTCAACCTTGATGTTTTCCATTTACAGATATACAAAAATATATGTCAACTGACAACATGTAAATTATTTGATGACAATTTTAATTTCCGAGTTAATATTCTTTCAATTGTCCACAAAAGCTGTATTCTTAATCGTTTAGCCGTCTTTAGCGAGCGTATTAATATAAATTCACTAATTTTCATAATTCTTTACTCCATGCAATCCGCCATCTTGGATGACAAATCCTCCCCCACGTGCATACCCTAGAGACGAAATCGCTGCGCAAGCAAGATGCGCAGAACGGCTCAACCATGTCGGGTTTTGGCAGGCATCTCACCGACTTTCTGAAGTACGTGAACGGAGGAGGCTAAAGAATCCTTTTATTTCATTTAAATTTCACAACAACAGTAAATTGTTTCATCAATGATTAATAATGGGTGTAACCACTACACTTCTCGATAACTTTAAGGCATCATTTTCCCGGAACGAGAATGATGTGAACTGGGTACTCGCGAGATCTCAACCCAATTGAGATTTTTTGAGACCAGCAAAAGCGATCTGTCTATCGTCGGTTTGAAGAATACAGTACTCTGGCTGACTTGACTCAATTGTTGCAGAAGCAATGGGTGGCCACATCTAAATGGCGGGTTGGTTACACCCATTAGCGTGGAGGTTACACCCATTATTAAATCATTGATGAAACATTATTACTGTTTTTGTGAAATTTAAATAAAGTCATTCCTGTTAATCTTGAAATTGGTTATATTTGTATTCAATTGAGGCTAAGTCATTCTTTAAAGCATGAATGACCCCATTCTTCCACTATCATAGGTCTAATTAGTGCTAGGTTTGATTATCAGGTTATCATTCATTTAGAATCTGTGACGATATATTTAGGGGGGGACTTTCTTTTAGTGTGGTGTTTAGTTGAAAAACTTTACTTCCTTGTCTCTGCCTTACTAATACTTGATTATTCAGTTTTTGCTCGAAAATAATGATGAGGGTGCATGCGTGCATGGGCTTGCCCAGATTCATTTTCAATCCTCGGGTGATAGATTGATACGTTATGTGTTATTAAATTAGGAGAGTATCACACGTATTTTCCGTCCAATAATGCAAATTGTTTAGATTGAAAAGCCTTATAAACCAGTACCATAGCTCACACTTTTAGAAGACGAAACAAAGCCCAGAAGCACAAGTTCAAGACATGGTTTAAAACAAGACATGATAACGAGAGTTTTGACTAGTGATATCAAATATACAAGGTCATGTATATACCGTGAATGACCTTCTATTCGAAAATTCTAAATTACTGTTATGATTCAAGATTGGATCTCCAATTAGGAAATTGCATTGATTACCGTTCCCTATATGTCTTTGTTTGGAGTTATTCGAGCAGGGAAGTGCATGAAATCTCGTGGTATGAGGCGGGATTTTTGAACATAAAAAATTCCACATTCCTAAAGTTGACAAGAGTGTGAATTAGATTCAGAGGAGGTTGGACAGCAGGACGCAAACCATCATGAGTATTGAGCGCCGCTTCATTTACTGTTGACTCTGGAGGAGTCAACATCTCTGACTCAACCAATATGGAAGCTTAATTCGAACGACAAGAGTGTCATGCTGCGATACTTTGGGAAAACAGCATGTCATTGCTGTATTGTTGCGATCCTCATTATGACTTGTGTTTTACTATACCAAGTTTACTTGTCATTTTTAGCTTTATATATAATCCGTCTGAGCGAAGGAATTGTGATGTTCCCATGCAATAGCGAGGCTCTTCTTTTTAAGTTGGATGGCGTTAAATCTCCGTGTATCATCAACGTGAGAACATGCGCAGTATTTAAGGTTGGTATACTACAATGCATTACAGTTATCCAGTGTTCCAGTCGTTCCAGTTTACTTTACAGAACAGTTCTCAAGATGTCGCCCATTCCATGAGTGACTAGTTCAATCTCAAACAATTTCTTCATTTGTCAACGAATTTTACCACGTTTTTCTGTGGATTTTGGATTTATCCTACTCAACATTTTCATTATCCTACTCAACATTTGTGCAACCTCTCTGGAAATGCGAAATCTGTTCGCTAAGTTTTTCGAATTTTATACGTCACGAACTCACGGAATGTATTAACAATGATGTCATGGATAACGTTTGTATTTGTGAGTAATACTGGTGTTTCATTGAACATTACGAAAATATCTCCCCAGGATCATGCCACGCTTTCATCCTTTTACGCTTTGCGTTTCCGGTTCACGATTTGTATTCTTTGTCTATTGCACCACAGAACATATGTCGTCATTTTCAGGTCAGTGTGAACGCCTGAGCAGGCGTCTTTGTTATTCTAATGTCATTAATGATTCGAATTCTTTACAAAACAAGAAAGTATAAAACTTTTTAATGATTTAAAATATTTAAAAATATTTTAGAGATAACAGTTAAACTTATGGCGTAAAATAAGAAAACAAAATTTTTAATTATCTTAGCCAATCACGATCGAGCTTGATACGACTCCACTCTCGGTTTGTACTCTTGCATGCGCTCAACGGAGAATACCGTTCAAACGGCCATCACATAATGCATGGATTGACTTTGCATTTCGCTATGTTTTCACCCGTGCACACTAAGTATAGCAGAGCGGAATTAGTACCCTTGCCCTGGGGTTACGCCCGGAACGGCGCTTCGCTCTCTTGGCTCGTGAATAATATTTGTCAAACATTTTTTTGAAAAATGACAGTTAAGGAGGCTCCCTACAGTTTCCGATATATATCAGTGTTTTAAACTAAAAGCTATTTGAACAAAAAAACTATTTTTTTCCACAAGCCATTGTTTCCTCTTATATAAAAAAGTAATTTTAACCCACAATCGCCACTCTTGACGTTACCATGACAACAAGACGTCGCCATCGATATTGAATTGAATTGAATTGAATTAATTTAATAACTACTGACTTTGTAACCCAAAAAGGTTAAATTACACCAGTATTACATAAATTAAGAGGATAAGTTAAAATTACATAATAATTACATATTTAAGATTATTTACATTTCTAAAAACTTATTTACTGTTAATCTTTAATATACTTTGAGGTAAAAACGAATTCTTAAAACGTTCGGTTCTGCAAACATAATTATGATATTTACATATCGGTCTTAGATCATATCCAGATAAAACTGTTTGTGGTAAAAGATCTTTGAGATTTTCATTGTCAATATTCTTCTCAAAGAAATGTTCGCATAATTTTTCTCGTCGATCTCTCAGTGACGTGATGTTAGTCGTGATCAGTGCTTCGTCGTACTTTTGCGATGGGAGGATTATTCTCAACGCGCGTTTTTGTATTTTTTCAATATCGTCACATAAATATTGTTGGATATTGTAATGCCAGACCTGGCATGCGTACTCTAAAACAGGCCTAATAATGGTAGTATATACAGTAATTAACGTGTCAATACACGTGTTGGACCTTTTTAGCAGTCTTAGCATATAGAGCCTCTTGCTAGCTTTTTTAACTATGTTATTTATATGTTCATTCCACTTCATGTTATCTTGGACTGTGATGCCAAGGATACGGGCAGATTTCTCTCGTTCAATATTAACTTTATCGACTGTTAAAAGGGGAAAGCAATGCTTCTTTTTTGCAAAATCAATAACCAGTTCTTTGCATTTTCCAATGTTTAATTTCATATTATTACTCGTAGTCCAATTATTGATGTAATTAACCAGTTCTTGAAGGTTGCTGTTACAATCTGGGCCAATGGTTTCGGTAGTGGTGGTGTCGTCAACGTATTTCCATCGGTCTTTCCAATCAGCGAGGAGGTCGTTTATCATGATTAGGAAGAGGATTGGGCCTAAAACAGTTCCCTGGGGTACTCCACCGTTGAGGATTTGCCATTCTGACACACAATGGGGCATTCTGACCCGTTGGCTTCGTTGAGTAAGAAAACTTCTTATCCAGTTTGTTATTAATGATGGAACGTCCATATCAGATAATTTACTGAGGAGGATGTTATGATCGATACGATCAAAAGCTTTGGAGAAGTCTAATAAAAAAATTCTCACAGCGTTTTTCGGCACATCAGTTTCGTTTAATAAGTGATGGAGAAGGCTCAATAATGCATGTGTTGTTGAAGAGTTTTTTAGAGATCCAAATTGCCGTTTATCGATCTTCTCACCAATCAACTCCATCAGCCAGTCTGCGACAAAACGTTCACACGTTTTTGACAAAGTGGCAGTAAGCGAGATGGGACGCAAGTCTTTAGTAATGTCCCTCAGCACCTTATTTTTAGGTACAGGGATGACGTCGGCTTTCCATACCGCGGGAACAGACGCCTGTTGAAGGGAGGCGTTGAAGATTGAAGTAACAGGGGAAGACAGCAGGGGCGCATAATCTTTTAGGACCCAATTCGGTATTTCATCTGGACCAGCCGCTTTCGAGGATGATATTGAAGATAATTTATAATAAATGTCTTCTTCACTAATAATGTACTCGGTTGGAATTGTAGTACAATCGCTTTGTAATTGGCTATCGGGGAAAGGGATAGGACTAAGGGGAGGAATATCTCGAGTAACGGATACGAAAGCCTCGTTAATTTTTTCAGCAAGTTGCTTTCCAGAGACGACTTGCTCTCCTAGGACAATACTTGAAAAAGATTTCTTCTTAGGGTAGCCAGCTATTTGTTTTACGGTGTCCCACCATTTCTTAGGATCAGGGTTACGTTTCAATTGTTTCAACTTATGTTCTAAGAATGCAGATTTAAGGTACTTACTTTCTCGATTGGCACGATTACGTAGTCGCCGGTACAATTTGTCATTTTTCTGAAAAAATGCCTTCTGTCTGCTTTTAATAAGTTCCTTGTATGAAGGTGTTATCCAAGGCTTATCTCGGTCGTGCATTTTAACTACTTTACATGGAAGGAAGTGGTCTAAGCCGGTATGAATAACATCCTGAAAAATTTCCAGTTTTTGTTCGCACGGTGCAGTACGATACAGGTTAGTCCAATTATAGTTCGTTAGCCATCTTCCAAATGCAACTTTTGCACCTCTGTTACCGGGTCTAATGTTTATTTTCTTGCATCCGTTCAATGATTTACATTTTTTTAAAATGCATAAAACGGAATTATGGTCGCTGAGTCCGATGGGTGCGATCACCTTAGAAGGGTCACATGTGTCTGACATATTAGTAAGAATAAGATCAAGGACAGCATCTTTCCTGGTTGGTTGTTTTACGATTTGTTTCAAAGTAAAATGTCTTAATAAAGATGAGACAGGACATCTGTTAAAATCTCCGAGTAAAAATATACCTGCATTTGGGTACTTACTGAGAGCGAGGTCAAGTGTTGAGCTGAGGGGATCTATAAACGCGGCGTTGTCGCTGGATGGAGGTTTATAGGCCACACAGACGATCAAACACGAGAAGCCTCGATTAAGTTTATAAGGTCGTACATAGATCCATAAGGTTTCAAAATTGATGTCATTAAATTCTGTTAGAATTTTGAAGAGAATGTCTGATTTAATAAAAGCACAAACTCCACCGCCAAGTTTATCAATTCGATCACATCTTGCTATTGAATACCCGCGAATACAAACTGCTGCATCGTCGATTTTCTCATTTAACCATGTTTCGG